CTGCAGCTCCTGGGGGCGGGGGGGGGGAAAAGGGCAAAGCTTGTTAGCCTCACCTGTGCAGGCCTTGGAAGAAGGGGGGTGGAAGGGAAGAACTGCAGCTCTCATGCCCCAAGGGTTGGGTAGCTGGGCCAATTCTTGGAGGCCTCGCCTGGAAACAACAGCGCTGGGCTGTTCCCCCGGTCGAGGGGCGAGCTCCTTCCGCTGGGACCCGTTGGCCGAAAGGGGCTTACGAAAGAGGTGGTCCAATGGCCGTATCTTCCCGTACCCCAAACACAGAAGCCCCTTCCTGTTTCCCCTGGAAACAACAGCGCTGGGCTGTTCCCCTGGTCGAGGGGCGAGTTCCTTCTGCTGGGACCCGTTGGCCGAAAAGGGGCTTACACAGAGAGAGGTGGTCCAACAGCCAGATCTTCCTCTACCCCAAACACAGAAGCCTCTTCCTGTTTCCCCAACGCTCGAGAGGGTCCCCCCATGTAGCAGGTCTCCTGGGCCCCATTTCTGAGGCATCTCCATCCTCACCTCTCCAAGACCACAATCATTCTGCCCCTCGTGGCCGCAGCCGAGAACGGTGTGGCTATGGGGCCGTCTGCATGGTGGCCACCGTCTGGCCATCCCCAGCGGGTCCCAGACCACTCTTCTTCATTTACACTTTTGGGGCTAAAACGGAGAGTCCTCTCTCGGAGGCTTATGATTCTCCCTTTTTGTTCCCTTCTGTAAACCCTTATTTCTCTGGACGTGGCATTTATCGCCCCACCACCTCCTTTGCTCTGAAGGGTTCAAGGCGGTGGCCAGGGGGTTCCCCCCCCTCCCTGCTGGATCCTCCCCACAGCCATCCTTGTGAGTTAGGTCAGGCTGACAGGGACCGGTCGCCCGCCCAGTGTGTTTCATGGCCGCCTAGGGGGCATTTTTGCCACGGCCGCCAGTGTGAATCCGAACCCTCGTTTAAAGGGTGCTGGTGGGAAAGGAAAGGTAGCCGTGATGACCGGCCGCCCTGTGTCGCCTCCCAGTCATTCGCAATTCTGTTATTCAGATGCTGCTGGAGAGGCTTCGAACCCAGACGTCACAAGCAGCAGTTCAGACAGATGGAACTGTGTGAACAGGCCTCTCTTCCGGGCCTCGGGGTGTGTGTGTGTGTGTGTGCATACGTGTGCGCATGTGCGTGCATTTGAGGGAAAGAGGGAGAACAAGTCACCGGGGCTGTCCCAATTCCTCATTTCTTATGACCCTGACTTCTAAAGCAAGGCGCCAATGTTGCTAAAGCAGCCGCCTCCACTGCTCCCCGTTGCTCAGACGGAGAGAATGCGCATTCACAACTGACGCACCAAAGTGTTTTCTGCGGGCCGGGTCTGGCGCCTGGCTCCGAGAGAGCCACCGTTCCAAGGGAATGCTGGCTGCCAAGCAGCGGAGAACGCTTTGCGTTGCCCTTCACGGCAGCAGCTGCCTCCGGTCTTTCGTGATGCAGCAGGAAACGGTTGCGCCAGTAAGAAAGGGGGGGGGAAAGAGGAGGATAAGGGCTCCGAGCGGGTTCTGGGCTCAGAAACCCCAGCTGTGGGAGACAGGGCAACGTCTGGGTGGATGCACTGGTAAGAAACAATACGGTTGGAAGATGGGGACTCAATCACTTCTTAGAGAAGGACCCTACTTCCCTGCGATTGGTCGTCAGGAAGGAAACCCTGGCCAGCCTTGTAGGGATCCTGCACCCCCACCCCCACCCCCGGGGGCTGAAAGGGCTTTCCTGCCTCTGAAGGCAAGCCGGGCACCTCCTCTCCTGGGAACGTCCATCGCTGCTCCGAAGCCAAGGCCGGGCTCCCTTCTGGGCGAGGCCGGGAGGTTGCGGGATGGAGCTGAGCTTGGTCCGCATCGCCCTGAGAAGAACTGAGGGAGGGAGAGCCGGTGAGATCGACTCTTGGTCTGCAAGTGATGGGGAGACGCCCAACGGGTGGGTTTTCTGATCTCCCAGCAGAAACCAAGGCCCTCCCTTGGCGGGAAGAGCTGAGCTGGTGGCAAACACCGCAGGGCTGTCCTGCCATGCTTGGGAGCAATCAAGCTGCCCCCTAAAGATGGTCACGACTGTAGCACTCGCCTGTAATAAACTGAATGCCAATGTGGCCCTGATCAAACGGTGCCTCTCCCTGCTTTAACTGGAGAGAGCAGACCAAGCGGGAAAGAGCCGCCCCCGGGGGGGAGGCCCCCCATAGGCTTCTGAGGGGTTCCCAAGGCTACCCTCCATCATCTCTCCCCAGTATACTGCCTCTGGGCACACAGCGATGTCATGCCGTTCTCCCCTAGAGAAAGGGCTGGTCTCCACGGCATAACTCCTTGCAGGGCAACGCCCGATGGAACCAGATCAGGTAAAAGCAACTCAGCGGTAGTGCCTGTGCACGCCCACCCTACTTCCTTCTCAAGTAAACAGCTTAAGCAGGCTTTTGCAGCGTTTCCAAAAACCAACAGAACCTGTTTGACCAGGAGGCAAAAGCAAATTCCAAAAAACTTGACAGGGGCCCCTGGGGCGTCTTGGTTTACACACGTTTCCTCCCCCCCCCCATGCCACTTGGGTCCCACATTACCTGAAGGGCTGCGAGGCCGCCAGTTGCTCCTGCTCTCTCCTCATCAGGCCTTCAATCTCGATGTCTGCCCGTTCCCCGCCTGTCCTGGGGGGGCCTCCCGCTAACAGGCCAAGAGACCTCTCACCACACGCAGCTCCAGTCCCTGCAGCAGCAGCAGCCCCTCCTGCGCTGGAGCAAATGCG